AAAAAAAAAAAAAAAAAAAAAAAAAAAAAAAAGGGAGCCCATTTGTGATGCCTCCTCAACCAGGTACTACTATCTTAGCTGGGGATATTCAGCTGTTTTTCTTATGAATTTTGAAGCTTTGCCTGATAAAAGTTGATAAAACAAACATCTTTTTGTGTGTTGTTTCACTAATTTTAGTGGGTTCACCCAAGATTTGTGCTTGAGAAGTTTTTTTTTTCTTGTTTTTTTATTATTATTATGCTTGATTTCTTGAATTTGTGGCTGGTAGAATGGATTTTTTTCTTTTCCCTCAGCTATTGTGATAAAGATTTGAGCTTTTATATGTGGGTATTTTTTTTCTTGGGGATTTTTGCTATTAATTGTAAGGACATAAAGATTTGAAGGAAACTTGATTATTAAAGTTCCTCTAGCTACACATGAATGGCAATTTCTGGTAGTTGAAATGTTGGATTGTTAATTTATTACAATGAAGGAATATTTGGTAGTTTTCTTTCTATAATTTGTGGTGGTTTATTTATTGCCTAGTTATTGAGGTTCCAAGAATCTTTATTACTCAGGAATTTTTTCCCACTGTTTATTGTGTTGCTCACTGATATTTGGTGCAAAACTAAAAATAAATGACTATCTTGAAGACAATTGTGAGCACCATTTATTTGTAATGAATGACTGAATTCAGCACACCATGATCATGACCTGTTATTGTTCTGTTTCAGAGAAAAATCATGACTTTTCCGTGTATGAACAACAATTAAAATGGTTTATTTTCACAAGTTGCTTGGAGAAGATAATTAAACATTGATTTCCCGAGAAAATCTGTTTAATCCAGTATAGAACCGAGCCTATGGTTAAAGTTAGATGTCTGTGGATATCACTAAATTGTAATATCTTGCTAATGTCTCTGGTTTTCTACTTCTTGATTCTTTTTTTATTTTTTTCTATTGAGTTTGATATTAAAATTTTACCTTGCACGGGCCAAAATAACGTTTAACTTGTGCTATTTGAAGCCTTACAGCACTTTCGGGGATGTTCATACCTACGTATTAGGCGATGTGCTAAGTGCTAATCAAGTTTGGTGATAGCTCACAAGCAGATTCTCACTTGCTACAAATAGTTTGATGGACCTTCTTATCGGAGTCTTAGCTTTTGCATGTTTAAGTTCATTTGTCTCTCCCGACGCACAAGGTGCAATTCTTAACTTATTTGCGTTTCAATTCATTTAATTAGCCGGTCATTTACAGTTACCCGTATGGAATATCACATTTAAGGTAGAACATGTTCATGGTTTTTCTTTTTCTTTTTTTTTTTTCTTCTTCTTCAGGAGATGCACTTTATGCATTGAAGATTTCTCTCAATGCTTCAAGCAATCAGCTTACTGATTGGAATCAAAATCAAGTCAACCCATGCACTTGGTCCAAGGTTTTATGTGAGGGCAGCAATGTCACTACAGTGTAAGAGATATGCTTTTTTATTTTTTTCTCTGTCATTTATGCAATCATAGTGTGTTTTTTGGTTTTGCACTTTTTATCATCAGCCATGCCGAATATTTTTGGTTGCACATTTCGTAGTATTTTTCATTTGCCTTCGTGAATTCTTTCTTCCACAGTTTTTTTTTTTGGCAAGATTTTTCACATAATGACTGAATGAAACCAGGACATTGTCCAATATGGGATTTTCTGGGACGTTATCACCGAAAATCGGGATCTTGAAGACGCTGAACACACTGTAAGTGCTGAGGACTTTCATCTAATTTTCTTGTGCATGCATTTTTGTTGTGAGTTTGATTAATTTTTCATGCATGATTCATTCATTCACCTATAAAAGTCAATTGCAGTAATTGTAAATGTAATTTCCTCCTCGTTTTTCCTTATGTAGCTATTTAAAAGTCGACATGATAATAAAATATTTTTCAACTTGGCCTGAAGTACTTGGGCATTTTAATAGCTGATGTTTAAAATTTTTTTCTAGAAAAGAATAAAGTTGGAGCTGGCTATACCTCAAAGAGACATAAAAACTGATAGGCGAAAACTTGATTGTTTGTTAACATTTTTGGATCAATTTATCTTCTGTTTTTTCTCTGCCTTCTTTCTATATACTATTGTACTGATGTTAAGATCCATAACATTTTTTTTCCTGTAAATTTGGACACTGATATCGCCTTTCGGGTATAAAATTCTTGCCATTTAGTATGGATTTCTTTTTTCATCTCTCTCTCTCTCTCTCTCTCTCTCTCTCTCTCTTTATCTGTTTTGCGTTCTTTATCCCTGTCCAATATTGCAGGCAGTTGCAAGGAAATGGTATAACTGGTAAAATACCTGAAGAATTGGGAAATTTGACGAGCTTGACTATGTTAGATCTCGAAAATAACCATTTAACTGGAGAAATACCGTCTTCCCTTGGCAATCTCAAGAGTCTCACATTTCTGTAAGCATTCTTACAGAGCTTGGTCAGCTTTGTCCTCCTTAAATCCTCTTTTTCTCTCTTTATTTCTCCTTAATTAATTAACATCTAAACTAAGATGTCTTGCATGGCAGGATTTTAAATCAAAACAATCTCTCTGGACCAATTCCTGAATCACTTTCAAGTCTCTCCAGCTTAGTCAACTTGTAAGGGACTTATCTTCCATAGGATTCTTACTATCAGCCTGTATAATGTGTGTTTTTTAAGTATAATTCTTTATCTTTTGCAGACAGCTTGCTTCGAACAATCTAAACGGCAGCATACCTGAGCAACTATTCCAGATTTCCAAATATAAGTATGGAAAAATATTCATTATCTATTTACTAAATGTAAATGCTTGCGTGTGTTTGCATAAGTATGAATACCACCTTCATTAATTGAGCTTATCAGCTTAAGTTATTAATTAGTTTTTCAGGTAATCAACTGAATTGTGGCATCAGATCTGCCCACAGTTGCGCGTTTGAAAATGGAGGTACATTTTGTATCAGTTTGTTAATAACCAAATTCAAATGGCTAAAGTTCGAAGGTATGAGTTTGTAAGTTGTTTGAGTCGTTTTGACAGGCCATTCGAGTAAATCAAAGGCTGGCATGGTAATTGGGATTATTGGGGCCTTCCTAGTGATTATTCTTCTCGGAGCTTTACTCCTCTTATTTCTTTGGAAGGGCAGGCAAAAAGGGTACAGGCGTGAAGTCTTTGTTGATGTTGCAGGTTTGTTCATAACTTTAAATTTGCCGTTTTGCACACCGAATATGAGTGTTTGTTTGCTCTTATGCAGTGATGTTATTTGTTACTTATCGACATTGTATTTGTTCGCAGGTGAAGTTGACCGAAGGATTGAATTCGGTCAACTCAAGAGATTCGCGTGGAGGGAATTGCAGCTGGCCACGGACAATTTCAGTGAAAAGAACGTGCTCGGGCAGGGAGGTTTCGGAAAGGTCTACAAAGGCGTGCTTGGCGATAACACAAAGGTCGCAGTCAAACGTTTGACCGATTTCGAGAGTCCCGGTGGCGACACCGCTTTTCAACGGGAAGTCGAGATGATAAGTGTGGCTGTTCACCGGAATCTCTTGCGGCTCATCGGCTTTTGCACCACACCAACGGAACGGCTTCTGGTCTACCCTTTCATGCAGAACTTGAGCGTTGCTTCACGCTTACGAGGTCTTATGTTGTTTTTGTGTCGATGTTTGTTGAAAAAAATGCAATTTTATTCCTGTTGGTTTGATGCCATAGAAATTTTAATCGCAAGTTTCAAATTGTTCGCCTTTTGGTCTTTTGATTTAATATAATATTTTTGCAGAAAATATATATTATATCAGATGACTGAAATTGCAACAAAATTTTAAATTGCATGATTGAACTCGCTAATAAAAAATCTATAAATTTGGAAATTTGTTGCAATTTCAGTCGTTTGAGGACTGATATTGCAGCAGAATATTAAATCACTGGACCAAAAGGCGATATGTTAGAATCATGGAACTAAAATTGCTATGAAGTTAAACCAGCAAGACTACAAATGCAATTTAACGATATTTGTTAAAATCTTCGCTTAAATACAAAAAATTGAAAGTATCTATCCGAAAACAGAGCTTAAGCCCGGGGAGCCCGTCTTGGACTGGGCGACGAGAAAACGGGTGGCACTGGGCACGGCCCGTGGGCTTGAGTACCTGCACGAGCATTGCAACCCGAAGATCATCCACCGGGACGTGAAGGCTGCAAATGTGCTATTGGATGAGGATTTCGAGGCGGTCGTGGGGGATTTTGGGCTTGCGAAGCTGGTTGATGTGAGGAGAACGAATGTGACGACACAGGTTCGTGGGACGATGGGCCACATAGCTCCCGAGTACTTGTCCACAGGAAAGTCTTCGGAAAAGACGGATGTTTTCGGATACGGGATCATGCTTCTTGAGCTCGTCACCGGTCAAAGGGCTATTGACTTCTCCCGATTGGAGGAGGAAGACGATGTCTTGCTCCTCGACCATGTAAGTACATTCTATACATTATATATATATAGAGAGAGAGCACTTTTATGTTTTCCTCTCTCATTTGAATGTCTAAACTAGTGGAGAAATCGCAGAAAATGTGTAGTAACAATTGTCGTTTGAGTGGCATTTTGAAACCTTTTGAAATCGGAGACTTTTTTAAGATATTCAGATTTAATAGGCTTTGGAAATCTTATGTTTGGAGGTGAGATTTGACGAACGCTTTTGTATAAAGTTTTTGTTTTTGAATTAATCTCAGCAAGTCTTACAAAATCCACCTAAGTGATAAATAAACCGAGTACCTCGTGACTTTTTACGACCTTTTTGAAATATCAAAATGAATACACCATGATTTTTTTAAATACCAAAAAAGTCTTTAAGAATCCCAAATAAATACATCCCTCTTAAATTGACGTTGGAAACCAAAGACGGGATTAAAAGAAAAAAGAAAAAAAGAAAAAAAGTAAACTTTTGGTGACACAGGTGAAGAAGCTCGAACGGGAGAAGAGGCTAGAGGGGATAGTGGACCGGAATTTGAGGCGTGAGTATGAAATAGATGAGGTGGAAATGATGATCCAGGTGGCACTCCTCTGCACACAGTCATCACCCGAGGACCGGCCCGCTATGTCTGAGGTTGTCCGAATGCTCGAGGGAGAAGGGCTGGCCGAGCGGTGGGAGGAGTGGCAGCACGTGGAGGTCACCAGGCGGCAAGAGTTCGAAAGGCTCCACAGGCGCTTCGATTGGGGAGGTGACGACTCACTCCACAACCAGGATGCTATTGAGCTCTCGGGAGGTCGCTGACGAACCCTTTTGAAAGGTGAAAAAAACGAGCGTTAGTTGAATTATTATTATTATTATTTTGAAAAAGGAAATTACGTATGAATTCTTAGTGGTTCGATCAATGTAGTGTATATTCGTTGGTTATGTTCTTCGATTTTTTTTTTTTTTGTTTGTTTGTTTGAAGGTTGTGTGTTCTTGTACATTTTCATGAGGTTGTGTGATTTTTGTGTTGAAGGTGAAGATGGGAAGTTTTTTGGGTGCCTAAAGGTTGAATTTAATGAAAGGGTTTTGCCATTGTGTGTGTAGTTAATTTGTCTTTTGCTAATTATAGTTGGCATATTTGAAGTTTATAAAAGTTGGTATATTTGTAATTAAAATAAAAACTTCATATGTGTGAAAATAAAATGAAATTTGAAGATCAATCGTGTAAATTTTTTATATTTTTTTTTTATTTTGAATTAAATTTGAGTTGAATTTACCAGAAAAAAAATAAAAAATAATTCACGTACCAGCATGAATCTGGGCTTACAACTTTCAAGATTGTGGTTTTGGATTCTTCGGTAAAGCTAGCATATTTTGATCACGTTTGCATTGCCATGGTATGTGGGGTAATATGGTCTCACCAATTGCGTTTAAGTTCTCTTTAATAAATTTAATTATGAAGTTACTAGATATTAGTAAGTGAAACTAGTTATTTTCATCCAATAATAAAAATATATTAAGTTTTTTACATGGCCCATTCAAAATTTATGTAATTTTACACCTGAGATGGTGGAATCACATAATGTGATCGATTGGTGCATTCATGTGGTGTGATTCTATTGTGCGATTATTATCTGCGATCATAACCCTACTATTAGGGTGAAAAAAAAATATTTGGAATTGTGGAGTGACAAAAGTAAGTATGCTTTATTTTTGAGGTAAAAGATATTCCCTCTATTTAAATGTATGGAGCGAGCGCATGACTTTTTTTATGGAGTCATCCAAAACTTGACGCACTGACACGTGTCTAAAGTGGTGTATTTATTATATGACACGTATCAATGCATCATTTGTTAATAACTGTAAATATTGGTTCCTAACTCGTGTCATCCGATTACTTCATAACAAAACTATAAAATTGTATACTCATTATATATGCTCTTTTCATTTACCATATATATTTTTAATGAGGCGATCGAACCGTTAGACAGGTCAACTT